TATATTATTCCCTCAGCTGGGACTGCCCACTCCTGACCCCTTTAGCTTCCCTCCATCTTGGTTATCTTCTCACCATCATTTGAGACTGGCACAAAGACCTAATGAAAAACATTGAATGAAGATATCCTGAGGCTCTGAAAATTGAGAACTACTAGACCAAGCCTGAAGCTGAAGTCATCAGGTCATTTACAAGGTAAAGCAACAGGATCATAATTTCCAGCTAGTTTAATTCCAGGGTATGAGTAACTGATCTAGAACATCTTTGAATATAACATTAAAAATCTTGCATAATCATTGGAGGGATTTAAGGGAACAAGAGAAACCTCAAATTTCAGCTTCATGAGGTCTTAGTATCCAATGAGAAGACATATGAAAGGCAGTGAGTGGGTACTAAGAATCCACAGAGCTCCCTCTTGTTATATAACATCTACTAACAGCTTTAATTAATGTTAGACTTTACAGTGAATCAGATTAGTATTTATCTGCCTTTTTGACTTGCGAACAATCTAATTAATTTGCTATGCAGATAGTAGAATGACAACAAGTCTTTGTCTCTCATAAAGGCTACAGTTTCATTGCTAGGATCATACCTTGAATTTCAGAAAAGGTCTTGGTTCATTTAAACAGTATAGAGAAAAGTATGTCTCTGTATTTGAACACTACAGATTTCAGTCAGGAGATTGCAGGCTTTATTCTAATCTATGCAGCAAAAAAGGTAAACCTTGAGTTTGCAATGCTAAGGGCACACAACGGGGTGCAAATTCCCAACATCCAACTGGCCTTTACCAAATAAAGATGAATCTGAATTAGCTGTGGTGAGAATAGATATTATGCAGAGGTGAAACATTAAAGATTGGATAGCTCACTAATGCCATTAGTCATCCAAGCGTATGAGAAACACAATCAGAGAAACTCTGAGTCAGATTTAGCTTTTGCACAGAGCTTTAGTCTTATCTTTGTGGCATAAACCAAAAATCAGAAAACACCAATGGGGGAGAAATACAGTGCCTGGGATTTGGAAAATGAATCCTTAACATTTATGACAAAGTAATGCTTGGTGTTAACCAAAGCAGTTTTGTAAAACGGAAGTATTTTGAAAAGTTAGCAGAAAAAAGGCTTTTCTGTAAGAAATCAAGTTAGTAAAAGATTCTTAGTAAAAAATGCATGCATGCTTGTTCAAATTAAATTCAGCTTCATTTCTTCTTTCTTTAATAGCACAAGATTTTATTTGCTAAGCTTTACAAAGTAAGCATCTGGGGAAAATTAGTACAATGATATTGAAAGATATTTATTGGCTTTTGAGAAGATAAATGCAAATGAAAATTATTTAGAAAATTAATTTTCAAAAGTATCTTAAATGAAATAAATATAATATCTAATACAATCTCTTTCTGCAAGAATCTCTAAGATGGGCAACCCTAAAAACCAATCAGCTTCATTTCAATTCATTACTTCATTAATTTATTCAACAAATATTTATTGAATGCTATGTGCAACAACTGAGAGAAAGGGAATTCTAAAGATAGAGATTAGACACATTTGAGACACTTCTAAAATAGCCATCTTCTGTTTTCCTAGGGACTATAAGGAGGTATCATAAATAAGAATGATTAACAGAATTAAATAACATATCTAGTCAGGTATAGGGGTTTCCGAGCCTCTCTCCTTTGTTGCTATTTGGAGATAAGTCATAGCTACAGAATAAAGGACGTACACATCCAAAGGATCGGGACAATCTTGGTTTTAAATACCCTTTCCCACTTTTTGTAAAAGTGTGCTCATACTTGTCAGATTATATAGCCCAATTTTGACTTGGGAAACAGCCAGCTTGGCAGGCACAGAGAGAAGGCATCTAATGACTTCCTGGGTTTTCTCAGGGAAAGGACAGGAAATGGCAAATTAAAGGCTCCTTAACCAACGTTAAATTGAAGAGTCATGAATGCAAGGTTATGACTCCAAGGGACATTTCACAGAACTACAGACGACCAGAGAGGGCAGAGCAAAGAAAACTGCACAGGCTGTTTTGAGGAGGTGGATCTGTAGAAACATTTCTTTGGGATTTGGTAGGAGGTGAAAATTTGACAAAAGTGGAGGGAGAAAGAAGAAAGCTCATCCTGACCTTTTAATGAAGGTCAAGATAACTTACAAAAAGACTTGCATCAACACCAGAGTCCTGGTTTTGGTGTAATGTTTTTCTTTCTTTCAGAGAACAAACCATCCCATTCTTGGGGAACAGTCTTGGATATCTTCCAGAGTAAAGTGGTTATCACTGTACCACAAGCAAATGAACTGGTTTATTCAGGGACATTTTAGTCATTACAAATAATCCCTCAAGTTAAGGCACATTCCGGGGAATATGCCACAATGTAAATAATATTCACATAGGATGTCTCTTTATTATCCTTTGATCTAAGGGAGAGTTGGGTATTTAGAGTAAAAAAAAAAATCTGAATTTGAATTTAGTTCTACCACTGACTGACTGTGAAATCTGGGGCAAGCTATTTGAACCTCTCTGAGCCTGCATATCTCATCCACAAAAAAGAGACAAGTTCTTCTTGATAGAGCTTTTAGGACAATTAAGTGACTTAAAATACATTAAAGTGCACTAAAAATGATAAACTGATATAAATATAGTCACCAGTATTCTATAACAGTATTTTTTGATCTAGTTGCCATGGTATGGATGGAGAGTATGCTAACAACAAAGGCAGAGCTCTTGACCAATGAGCTAAAAGGATACATTATGCAGTGACAGCAATCATATATGGCAAGAATAGATCTACTGCTCAATAACGTCAAAATTCATTTTCAGTGTCAGTTTCAACTTTTTATTCTAATTTGACCCCTACAACAATTAAATATTTAACATAAATGGATACTACTGATTATTCTAAATAAAGTGGGGGAAATATTTTCTCTGCCATGGTCTTCACTGCCAAATGATTTAAGACTATGACTAAAAATAAAGTTATAATTAAAATTAAAAAGTAGCTGGGCTCGGTGGCTCAGCCTGTAATCCCGTGCCTCGGGAGGCTGAGGTGAGTGGATTGCCTGAGCCTGAGGGTTCGAGACCTGCCTAGGCAACTTGGCGAGACCTCATCTCTACAATAATCAAAAAAAAAAAAAAATAGCTGGGTGTGGTAGCATGCGCCTGTAGTTGGAAGGCCTGTAGTTGGAAGCTACTTGGAAGGCTGAGGCGGAAGGATCACCGGAGCCCAGTAGGTTGGGGCTGTGGTGGCCGGGAGCGGCCACTGCACTCCAGTCTGGGCGACAGAGTAAGACTCCAACTCAAAAAAAAATTAAAAAGTGTTCAATATCTCCTGGATGGTACTCATGTGATATCTTTGCTGTAGTCTCAGGTTTTCATCAAACATTTTCTGAGAATCCATTAAATATTCACACTGTTCTAGGTACTATAAGGGACATGAAGATGATGGAGACACAGTTCTTGCCCCAAAAGTACTCACTAATTCATTAGAGAGAGCTACTGGTAATAACTGATAAAAAGGCAAACTGACAAGGAGTTCTTTGAGAAAAATTCAAAGTGTTCTGGGAATATAAGAAAAAGACAGATTACTTCCAACTGCAGAAATCTAGCACAGGGCTTTGTGGGGAATGTTATTTGGAACAATGTCACAGAGGATGGGTAAGACCCCTTTGCCAGATATGGCAGTGGAGGGTTAGGGGGTTAGTAGCTAGGCTGAGAAGCAAGCTTGAACTTGACTCAGAAAGTTGACAGAGCAGGATATATTCAGAAATACTAGCTATAGCAGCATGGCCAGAACACAGACACAACGAAAGAAGATAAGGTTGAAAAAGCAGGTCAAGAGAAAATTGTGGAAGGTTTTGAATGCCCAGCTGAGCAGCTCAATTTTTTTCTACATGTAGAAATCCAATGAAGGGAGAATGCCATGATGGGTCTTGGTTCTGGAAAGAAATACAAGTAGAGTCAGCAGGGATGATTTATTGGAAGGGTGGGAAAGAGACTAAAAGGAAGCCAACCAGATAAGGAACCATGGCCTCAGGTCAGAGGTATTAAGAGCTAGAAGGCAGACAGTGGCAGCAGGAAGCAATGCATGAATGACAGTTTGCTTTTTCATCTTGAGATGACATACTCCCTGAGGGCACTGGTCTCAGACACTCTGTGTAGCCTAGATTAAGAGGTCTTGGTGCCTTAGGCTAAACCAAAGAGATGAAAGTACTCAACTCTCACATATTTGAGCAATTTCTTCTTTAAAGACTTGCCTGATGGCATATGTCTGAAGAAGGTACACTGTGAGTTAGAATGATCATATGTAAAGGCTTTTTAAACCAAGGGACCTGTGATATAATAAATGTAATTGAAAAGTAAAAGTCCAATGATTTGCATTATCCTGACACCACGCAATACCCGAGATTTTTACATCTTTGTCCTCTCTGCAGTCATTGTTAAAGTTCTTGAGCCTTTTTCCTCTTCTACAATTTCTGGATGTTTATGTGCACATCTTTTACAGGTGATAGCTGACAATTAGAATTTCCTCACTCATCTGCTATGGTGGTGAGCATAATTAATGATTTCTGCATTTGATTATGGAAAAATAAGATGAAATAATTTGTTCCCAAATATGACCAAGGCAATGAAACTAGTTTCTTAGATGTTTAAGATAGAGAATAAGGCCAAACACATGTAAAAATTATATCATCATAAAATTAAATAACCTGCTTATGTCTTAAATTCTATTCTCAAATATAAAATCAAAGCCTTGGAGACACATGCAACAAATGAAATACCCCCATCAGCATTAGTTCCTTCATACCTAAAATATGAGTTCTTAATCATACTATTGCATTCATTTTCTTCTTTCAGATAACAAAAAAGGAATCTGCAAATGGAGCTAAACAGATTATTTTAGAAAACAATTAGACATAAAATGACTCTAAGTGAAGATTCCTGGCACTTTTCTAGGTGTGCAAGTGTATGCACTCCGCATACCAATGACAAAGCTAGAAAGAAAACTCACCTGTTTTCTTCCTCAAGATCTGCTAGGATTCTCTCTAGCTCCCCTCTTTCCTCACTCTCTAAGGAAATCAAGATCTGGGCAGGACTACGAGGCTGGCTCAGGGGGGAGTCCTGGTTCAAACTTTGGCAGTAATGCTGGATTAACAAATGTTCATCATCTCTGGAAAATAAAATCAAAGGTTTTGGTTTTTTCCCCCCCTTATTTTGCTTTAGGGGTCAGGAACTTGGGTCTGTATTTGAAAATAGAAACATTTATTTGCTCTTAACAATTAGTTAAACCTTTTGTTCCTGCTTCTAAAGACCTTTTGGTATTGTTGAGGTTGTGGTCTACCATCCTATTGATGACAATTCAAAGTGTTTTTTTGCTCAAATTTTCCAATGAAATTGATTGGCCTATTTACATGGATAAATGAAAGGCAGGATTACAGAAATACTGGGACCCTATGTCAACAGTTAGTCCATAGTTAATAAATATTAAAAGACATAATAATGGCTGGATAATGGTTTGGCTACCAAGCCTATCAAGATCAACTTTTCACTAACACATGCTATTATTGATACTGACTAGGAAAAACCTCCAGTCCTGAAAATAAGAAAATAGTAAATTTCTCTTAAGTGGAAGGCAATGGAACCAAAAAGTATTGCCAAAGTGAGACAGTTTTAACTTATATAAATCATGGAGGCAGGATGATAACAATTAAACTGTAGCTAAATGACTGTTTCATGCATTTATTGCTTAGATTAAAAAATTGAGAAAAAAACCATTAAGGTGACCGATAGAAAGAAGACTGAACAATTCATTCCTCAGAGTGGGGTGTATCGTTATGTTTAATTTTTTAATTAAAAAAGTTTTTTATTGATACATAATGGTTTTAGGGGCTAATACTGTGGGGAAAGGAGACAAAACAACAAAACGGCTCAAATTTTGGGAGGAAGCTGCAAACTAGGAACTCTCTAATACACAGGAGAAACTGTTTTCTGAATGCATTGCTCCAAGCTCCTCAAAGGCCTGTTTACCTCCACGTTCTGTTCTTAATGAGCGGCTAAAGCTCTTTGTTTCTAGTTAGATATCATTAAGATGATACATTAATATTACTCTCTCTATATCCACTTAATTTTAAGCTGAAAAGGTTAAAATATTTAGAAAAAAGTCCTCTTGGTTTAAATTATTTTTGTTCATCAAGCCAGAGAACTGGTTGAGATGTGAAGAACTGACTAAAAATATTATTGGTTGTTAAAAACAAACATTTAAGTGAAGTCAACCAATCCACTAAGCCACTTCCCCAAACCTGCCTCTAAAATACTATGATTTTTAACATCCAACATTGAGTCAAAATAGATTTTATGTTCTCAGAATGACCTAAAGCTAAATTTTATTTTTAAATAAAACAAATGCAGATTTACCACCTATCTCAATTATTATCACTCTTCCCAAATTCTGAAGTTGTGTTGCTAGAATTTCCCATGTTTAATTGTAACATATAGTTGTAATTATAGTTTTCTTATTGTTCTCTTAGGCAGTCAATAAATGACAGTCAGTGTTATAAAGATAAAACTTGAATTAATTTGAATGTGCTAGAGCTTTTAATATAAAAATCAGTGAGCCAAAGAAATAAATCATTCAAGCCATGTACATTTAACTGATTCTTTGGTCACACATTTTCCTATCAAAATATTTAATATATTAATATCATTAATACTTTTCACCATAGCTAAGAAAGAGAACGCATCAGTTATGCTTGGGAAAAGGTTGTTTGTTTGTTTGTTTGTTTGTCTGTTTGTTTGAAGTAACCAAGTCATATACAGATGACTGAGTGTTGATTTGATTCTTTTTTATTATCTCAATTGCCTTTATGTACCAGATGAGATGATTTGTTCTCATATCTTCAATAACTAGTTAGATATAAATGCTACTTTGATATTATTTCCCTTGGTCTAATCCTTATGAAGCCCCTTTTCTTGTATGAACATGACTTTGGGTTGCCACACCAACTACACATGATAAATTTCCCATTCTTCCCTTCACCTATACTCTCCATGACAAGATGGGTGAGCTATCCATAATTTCTCAAACAAAAAGCCTCATTGTACTTTGACTAGATTTCTTCTTTCTATATGATTTATTCAGTTGGAAGATCCTTACTTTTTCCTTCTTATTTGCTTCATCATCTGGTCTCTCTACCTCAGGCTGTAGTCCACATTGACTGGGTTCATGGCAGTGTTGCTTTGTGCTCTGTATTGTGAATACTGCCCCTATTCTATCATGAAGCCTCTGTTTCTCTGCCCTAGTTGTGTTCTCTGGCCCTTTTAGCACCACTGGATCTCTTCCCTTAAAGTTTAACAGGGCTGGATTATCATCCAACTAACAAATTGTAACCTAAATTTGTACTCCCTCCTCAGGAAATCCTTCATAAGACTGCCTCATTTGATTTACCTTGTGAAGATGCTAAGTCACAAAAATTTACTACTTCGGATTTCTGAAGGGAAGTGCCCAACTAACCTACCATATGGGCACAGTAATTCTAGACCAAGATCACATTTCCACTCCCCATGAGTGGAGAAAATACTACTTGGCCTTCACTTTCAAATAAATATCCTATCTCTTTAAATATCTCGCAGGTCTGGTCAAAGATTAAATATATAATATAAGTATTTGGGATGCTGCAATTTATAATAATATTATAAAATAAATTTAAATAAGAATAAGACAAACTATTTTTGCTACTCTGGAATACTAATAATGTCAAAATTTGGATGAGCCCATTCTGTGACAGGTTGTTAAGAATTAAAGAAAAAAAGTAAATGAATGGCTCCTTAAAAGATCAAATGAATATGATGCTAATTCTTATATCCTGTGCTATCCTACTGCTAAAGCCCTCAAAGCAATTTCATTGTCAGGAACATTTTGTAAAAAGAGATGGGATACTTACATGCTCTCATTAGGAGAGATGCTATCATTTAGATAAGATCCATTGCTGTTTTCCATTTCTGCTAGCCTGATAAAAAACGTAAAAGCTCATTAAAACTTATGTGACTTCTTAGAATCTACTCAAGACCTAATCGAACATTCCTGAAAACTAAAGGATAAATCATGTCAAGAAGAGAAAGGAATCCTTCAAAATAAAGGATGTGTGTGTTGACTTAACCATTTGAGGCAGTGTGTGATAGATCACAGCTAGTTAGTAGCATTACAATTATGATATAAATTCTAAGGGAAGTTGTATTTTGTTGTTGGTTTTCTTTGTCCCCCAAAGATTAGTCTTGCTTTCACTGAGAACAGGTCTTTGTTTTCAGAAGAAAAGCTTTCCTAACAACCAATGCACTCCCTACCTTACACTACTACCACTTGTCTCTTAGGACAATTAATGCTCTCCACTATGAGACTTATACAGCTAGTTAATGCTTTCCACGATTGATAAACATGTCCAGCAGTTAGAATATTGATAAAGGATGAATGCACAGTAAGCTTTGTAAATATTCTGCCACCAATTTTTACCTTTAAAAATCTGCTTCACCTCAGACAATAATAAAGTTTTTTTCCTACTAAAAAGTTAATCAAACTCTTACAGATTTAATAAGCATAAGGTACTTTACAGTTAGTAACTAAGTTTTTAGGTATAAAAACTATTTTCAAACACACAGAAAGTGGGAGAGAAAGGTCCAAGGATTAGGAAAATTATTCTCTTCTTTACAGTATATCATGTAAAATAAACACACAAATGGAAAGTTGATGCTTTCATATTCTCCACATAACATATTGTCATTTCCTTACACATTAATGTCTAGTCTGGTAGTTTTCTAAGAAGGTTAGACGATTTGTAAGCCGATTTAGTCAATGTGCTCAGTATAAAAAACATAACAAGGCTATTGGAAATGTTTAAAAGGCCAGGGTTAGGGAAGATTGTTCTGGACTAATACTCTTGTTGATGTCCAAAACAACATGCAGTGGAATGGCATGCACGTTAGAGGGCAAGTTGATTAGTAGAAATCAGACAAGATTTGGGAAAAAAAGAAAAGATTTGTTTAAAATATTATAGGTTAGCTTTCCTTGGTTAGTTATTTCAATCAATATTTGCCTGGCATTCAACTAGTCTCATACCTGCTAGCATAATGTTCAATGCGTGAATGAGTATCATCGTGTGAAAGCTGAGGGGACGAGGCAGGCCTATAAGGCAGAAAATGTGATTAGTCACAGATACCATCCATTAATGGAGAAAAAAACCCACCACACAGTTATGCTGTATACATGGCCTAGAATGCTTTTATTCTATTTCTCTATTGATAACGTACACATTTAGCTATTCCTATATCTTAAACATAATCAAGTATTTTAAATCCAGGTTTGAGAGCTAATTTATAGAGACCATGCTTTTATTAAAAGCCATGAAGAGAGACCAAAGGCTTCTCTGAAAAAATTCAATTATAGTATTACAGAAAAGATTGGAGGAGATAATTTTTATGTAGCATTTTGTCCTTCTACCTTGTAATTTCTCATATCCTATAGTTCTGAAATTGTGTTAGCACTATGTGGTTTAAAAGTTTAAGCAGTTTACACCTGTGCCATTTGTTAGCTCCTTTTTATTGAATGGAAAGTATACATTTACCTAGTACATTTATAGTCAATCATTTTAGTTTCTAAGAGGCTACTCCAGTCCGTGACTTCTTAAGATTCCATGTACCAAGATGTCTTGGTCTATGCAAATTTGTAAAGAAGACATATACCTACCAATTTAGCAGGACTATACTACTACTTTATAGAAAATAAAATGACCCAGGATAATATTGTGATGTCTTTAAAAAGAATGACTAAATTTAACAGAATGTCGAAATATTTATTAGGGATATAGTGTGCTAAAACACAGATGAGAAAGCAAGAGGAGCTAATCAGCATGAATAGTCTATATGATTTTTGTATATAAAATATTACCTTTTCCTATCTCCACAGGCTAGAATTTTGAAAGGGTTAACATTTTTTCATCCTTTCATATCTGATCTATCAATAATCCTTGAAGTTGGTATAGTATCTTTTGGATTAACCTTAGGAAAAAAGTCATCTGTTCTGAAAACCAGTTTGGTCTTGTGCTTTTTGTTTTAATTGGAATTGGACAACAGGTCTCTTCCATTTCTCTGCTGATACAGAGAGCCCTTAAGTAAAGGCATGAATTCAAAAGTTAACAGTCATGTAATTCAGTGAAAACTCTGGTTTAGTCCAATGTCCAAGCAGCACTAAAGGACTTGGTTCTAACACTAAAGAGACTATGTTTGTTTCTCTGTACATTGAAAAAAAGAAAAAAAAAGTAGTTACTGGTAGCTAAGCTTATATAGGAAATGTGTTGTAAATTCATATTTCTTACTGTACTATCATAAGGTAATTACAACACACTACCATAAGTAACTAGGGAACTAGAGTTCTTCCACAATAGATAAAGATCTTATTTATGAAACCAATGTCATCTAGATCAAGTGTATTCACAATCAAATTGGAATAAGTTAAAAAGACTTTTAGACTGTCATGAGGAAACAAAAGAATGACTACTCAATTTGATAGGCAGATCCAAATGAATCCTCACTATAGTTTTGGAGAGTTAATCTTCTAATTTTCCAGAACCCTGGAATAGCCCATTATTAGAAAATGCTAAGGTTTGTTTTGAAATCTTGATTGCAGATCATGATAAATTAATACTTGAATTATATGGCTTATAATCACTATCTTTTGTTTTTCAATTATATATTTTTATAAGCCCAAAGCCCACCATCAGGGAAAATACATTAGTGGTGTATTTCCTTATTGCTGCTACCCTGGCAAGTATACAAAAGAAAGAAAACCTAAGACCTTGGAGCGTTACCACACCAAGAAGAGTAGGCATATAAATCCAAAATACTTTAGTACAATTTTATACAGAAAATCTTATACAGAGCTTTAATTCTTTAATTCTTAGTCTCAAGGATAATTCCATGTTATCTTTCTTATTAATGTCCATAGTGCCTATCACAGCATGCATAAGCACAAGAGCTCATAATAACCAGAAGTCGTAAAAAATATACACAAAAAGAGGCACTTTTAAATCAGAAAATGAGCCAAAAGGGAGTACTGGTCAGAGAAGACTCATTTAAAAACTAAGAATTAGTAAAAATACAAAACCACTTAGTCTAGAAACAAAACTAAGTGCAAAGCCTGCTAAAACACTTCCAAAGGAAGGTAATAATACAGTTCCTCCTTGCCAATTCATAAATACAAAACCATATACGCAGAAGGATTACTTCCTATTAGAGTTAATGATCCAACTGGCTGATTGCATCCCACCCACCACCATCTTTTCTTTTGTGAAAACTCCATGAATAAGTTGACATTCATTTAGATTTCAATGTAGAATAGCTCTAATATTTTTGACTGACCCATTTGTGGACAAATAATATAAAAGGCCTTTGTTGGATTTAGTTTAAAATAGCATGGCAAACACAGGCAAATAAGGTTTTTGTGTAAAGAAAACCAAAAAAATTGCATCTCAGGACACCTTCAAAGTCTGTGTTCCATATTAAATGAATTAAATGCTATCATGTCAGATTTATAAACATCAGAAAGAATTCTTGCAAAATAAAACATGTTAGGACTTGGCTCTTCTGCCTGAATAGGATGTCTTGACAATATATTTTATATAGAATTTATAATCCTATGTGTGAAGACTTTAATAACATTAGTGATATTAAAGAAAATATAGACTTTAGCCTGCTGGGTTTGTTTTCTTCCTCAAAACTATAACTTCCCACTATTTCTGAATAATCTAACAAACTTTTCATAAAAAGGCAAATTGTGGGTGTGTTTCAGTTGTTAAAGAAGGTATTTTAATAAAGGATATTATTAATTTTAAAGTGCTTCAAAGTTTAAGAAAGACAAGCATCCTCTACTTAAGTTACTTTAAACTGATTATCATAATTTTTTTCTCATTAACTTAGTGTAGCTGCTTCTTTCCTTTCAAGGAACTGTTAGTTACTACTTGCTTATTATTTTGGGGCTACCTTTATCCATACATTTGTAAGTATTGTTCTTTAGCATATTTGTCTCTTAGATTTCTTACTTGGTTAAACTTATTTCAACAGAGTACATTTATTCACTTATCAGAATCCAATCCAGCTGAGAAATGCAGTATATCAACTTATCAAAAGTTTCTTACTTACAAAAGGTTGTATTTCTATAAACAGACTATCTGGGTTAGGAAAAACAACTACCAACAGGCAGAGAACATAATCACATTGAAATAACTCTCAAAATTGTTTAAGCATAATGATTAAATAATCAGATAATTCACTACTTATAGCTACCATAGCTCAAAATTAAGGAGCACAATAATGTAGTTTTAAAAAAGAAAGGGAAGGCTTCTAACTTCCCTTAGTCTAATAAGGATGTAAAATAAACATCAATTAATAGTTTGTATTTATCATAAAGGGTTTATTTTTAAAAAAGGATCTAGTTTAAATTAAATTACATGGTAGAACAATAAAAAAGACCCAATAAAAATAAATTGAATGCTTACATAAGCCCGTCTTCCAAATTGGTCATTTCCCCTTCATATATAATAGAGCCATCTGACTTTAAATATTTTAATAAAGTATGCTTTGAAATGCCAAAATTGTTAAATAAAAACCTTGCACAGTTTTAAAACAGGCACTTTGTTTGCTAATATATAAGTCATAGGCCCCCAAAAGAGTTTTCTAATATTGTAAACTCTGAGATCAATCAATCATCTGTTGGTATTTAATATTAATATTATTAATATACACCAATAATAATAACAAAGACTACAGTACACTTTCCTCCTAGAGTAAATGTATAACTTCATGAGCTGAATATTTAGTTTGGAGAGTAGAGCAAAGCGACTTTAGTTCAAAACTTAGAAACCCATGTATATAGTCAAATATCATGGCATAACCTAATAAAAAGTCCGCACACCTCACTGACATTATTCAAACTCAACATTATACTCTAAAACAAATTCTTCTGACTTTTAATAGTCCACCTATAAGAGGCCTTAAGAAACAAACCATCATCCTTTTGAAGGTCCTAAAAGCATTGAAGCTAAAGAAAGTTAGTATGTAATCAGGAAACTCTTCTTTGCTTTTATTGAAAGAAATATGTAAACACGTCTCCCAGAAATACAACTAAAACCCTAATAATTTTTATTTTATTTTAATTTGAACTCAGGCCAGGATATCTGTTGGTCTGAATTTCACCAGGTGGAGGAACTGAAAACTCTACTCTGATTCTCCTGATTTGTGGTAGATGGTACTCTCAAAGTCTTACCAAGAGAAGAAAAAAACTGAAATGAAGGAAGGGAAATTAATATGTTTTTAAAACAAAATGAAACAAAACAAAAATCAAGCGAGCGAGTGTGTTCGTGGTAGCAGCACCCTTCAGCAAAAGTACTCACGCAGAATCTACCGGCCAGAAGTTGATCAGAGTAACGGGACTGCAAAACAAAAAATGAGGTGGTGAAGAGAGACACAGGCAAACTCAGCCGCAAAAAACTTATTGAAAGGTCAAAATAAATAAAATCCAACCAATTAAGTATGAATCAATGGAAAGCAACAGCCAAACAAAGGTGTAAAGTGAATTAAAAGAAAAATAGTTGTGTGATTGCCATCAGAGTTATGGAAAAAAGAGAAATAGGTTCAAAAGAGGTGAAAGCATCATCCGTTTGATCATGAGAATCACTGCTACTTACTGTGAAGTCATTACCTGTGACCATATTTTCTCCCAAGTGGAAAAAAGTGACTAGACATGACCACACAATCAGATACAAAAAGACACACATCTACTGATTTGTGAAGGAGGAAAATCAAAATGAAATATTGGAATCACTCATTTGTAAACAGTCCCGTATTTCTTAAAGCTTTATGACAATTAGTGGCTATAATGTGTTCTTTTTTTTTTTTCCCCTTGCAAGATACAGTGTAACTTTTGGAAAATAATTGTCAGGAGATGTGGGAAAATGGCAATTGAATATCAGCTTGTTTTTCTCTTTTCAGCTAAAGTAAATAAAAAGAAATAGAAGAGACTGTTTGCATTTGGGAGTGAAGGAGGGTGTTCAGCTGAGAGAAGTTCAAATATACATCAAACAAGAGTTTGTTTTGCCTTTGCCACTACTCACGTTTCCATGTTGTCCCCCTCTAAGACAGTCTGCACTGGCAGGTAGCCCATTCGGGGATGCTTCGCAAAATACCTTTTGGTTCGAAATTTGTTTTTTAGTACCTTGGCAAAGTCTCGAACATCTTCTCCAGATGTAGTCTGAAAGGGAAATCACAGGAATATCAGATTTAGGAGAGAGAGTATCTGCCTCAGGGCACTAGTTTTGTAATTAAGGAGAGTGTGGGAGTTCTGAGCAAAGGTTTTAGATTTAGAAAAATGGGGCTTTCAAATTAGTTTAGGCATTTACTAACTTGGGTGAGTTATTTACCTCTCAGAGGCTCTGATCGTCTGTAAAATGGGGGCAGTAATACTCAGCAAGTTGTTATAATAAATATATGAAATAAGCCGGGCTCAGTGGCTCAGCCTGTAATCCCGTGCCTTGGGAAGCTGAGGTGAGTGGATTGCCTGAGCCCGCGGATTCAAGACTCGCCTGGGCAACTTGGCGAGACCTCATCTCTACAATAAATCAAAAAATTAGCGGGTGTCGTAGCACGTGCCTATAGTTCCAGCTACTTGGAAGGCTGAGGCGGAAGGATCGCCGGAGCCCAGCAGGTCGAGGCTGCGGTGGCCGGGAGCGGCCACTGCACTCCAGTCTGGGCGACAGAGTGAGACACCAACTCAAAAAAAAAAAAAAATATATATATATATATATACACACACACACACACACACACATATGTGTGTATATATATATATGTATATATGAAATATACAAGCTACTACGCTACTCCAAACAATGACAGTTCTTAGAAGTCATAAGGTTGAAAAGTTGACCTTAAGTTTCACCACAATTTATGGTATTTAAAAAACTATTTAGTACACAAAGCCTCATCCACTAAATGTTTGTCTATTCACTGCATGGTACATTCTCCAGCACTGACTATCTTTGTAATAGGAATAATCGTGAGAAAGACAATTGACTATCTGGGAGGATCACTCTGATGATGGAAGAGAGAACTACCCAAAGTAGAGCTTCTCACACTTTGATGTGTATGTGAACCAGCTAAGGATCTTGGTAAAATGCAAGTTTTTATTTAGAAAGTCAGGGACTGGGTCCTAGCTTCTGCATTTCTAATAAGCTACCAGGTAATAGTGTTGCTGGTCAACAGTTCGTATTTTGAATAGCCAGCATCTAGTGTTTAGAGAAAATAAGATTTATATCCAGGTCTGTCTGGCCACGAAGTCTACAACCTTACTATTTCACCAGTGATTTTTCACAGTTGTACTAATGACAAAACCATCTTAGGAGAAAGCTCCACCTCTTACTTATAGAATCTTGGGCAATTTATTTAAACCTAAGACCTCAGAGTCCACATCTGAAAAAAGGGTATAAAAATAGTAATACCTATTCCACACAGAGTAGTTTAAAAGGTAAATGCTAGCATTTAGTAGGTGTTAGTATACAAATCAAATTTTAAAAATGTTTTTAGTATATAAAATAGATAAAAAATGGGCAGTATCTTTGATTAAAGGTGGTAGGTTATGAGTCTGGGGAAACCCATATACCACCCCCCATACTCAACATACCCCATGGCCACCAGACTTCTCCTTACAACCTCTAGAGTTGTACAAAATTAATGTGAAAATGTCTTTCCTACAACCATGCACACAGAAGAAAACCTTATTTATTCATTCAACAATATTTAGTGAGGATCTGTCACATTCCATTGTGGCAGGTACCAGGGATAAGGTAAATCCTGGAGCCTACAATTTAGAGACACTTTACCTGGGAAACATCTGGGGAACTTACAAATCACAGCATTATGCACGGCCTGTAATATTGTACAAAACTGAAATTTATCGCAGGTGAACTAATTCTCACATCAGGGAGGCGTCTAACTTACCGGAGTGCAATATTCCACCATGGGATAGTGCATTTTATGGCCTTTTGCAACTCGACCAGAAAAAAAGCAGCTTTGGCAGATGTCATAATTAAAGTGCTTTAGACTCCTATACCTGGTAAAGAACAAAAACAAACACATATGCATTTCTTCAAATCAAATTCCCAAAGAACACTGTTTAATAAACCTTCTACACCACATTGTCTTAATTCTAGAAACAGAATGTAATGTTCATTAGTCCCACAAGGTAAGTGATTAACTTCCTACTTCCAGATTTCTCTGGTGCCTCTCCTACAGTATCAAAACATTTTGGCAGAAAGATTATCCTATAAACATGTGGAAGGCGGGAAGAAATATTCAGCTCTTATTTAAACTCCACTAGGAACTCTTTCAGATTAAGTAGGAAGATACTGGCAAACTTCCAGTCTTTTGAGGACCAAATACTACTCAAATTTAAAAGAACTTCCAGGAGAGATAGACTGATGTAATGCATGCCCCCTATGCATCGTGGGAACAAAAGTTTTCTGAAGCAATTGTTTTCCAAAAATTTTACATAAAGCAATTTCATATGACAAAAGAAACTTAAACAAGAACTCAATTAAAACAAGTCTTTCTTTAATTACACTTTCTTATTGACTGACATGATTCATTTTCCAATAGTTACTTGGGTGATCTCTCATCTCTTTCTCTTCAGAAATCTCTCACTACATTACCCAGAAATGATAAATGATAACTGAAACCCCAAGAAAAGACAAAATTTGGATTAGATGAGGGAATTTATAATCTGTAAGTACGAGTTGGTACATTTCCCCCCATTCTCAGGATACTATATTCTTTGTTTCATACTCCCCTGCCTTTTGCTTTCTCAGATAAGAACCATAGCCAATTCAAATAAACATATTTCTTATATCACATATGGGGAAATAGGAAGAAAAGCTATCTTTTTTTTAGATCCCAACCATCTTTAAGAGAAAGGAGGTAGCCGGGCTCGGTGGCTCAGCCTGTAATCCCGCACCTTTGGGAGGCTGAGGTGAGTGGATTGCCTGAGACCGCAGGTTAGAGACCTGCCTGGGCAACTTAGTGAGACCTCATCTCTACAATAAATCAAAAATGAGCCGGGCGTGGTAGCGCGC